AGTATAATTAATAATTTCATAAGAAGTGCCCATTTTACCCCTAACGTTCGATATGTCCACTTTTACAACTTTCCTAACCTAAAACTAAAAATCACTGCTTTGAGTATATTCTAACATACCATTTATTTATAGTTAACAAATCTGATTTGGTTGAAATATACGATTGTTATCACTAAAGAAATATTTGTTAACTATAAACAAATATGGATTTCATTCAAATATACTACAACTTTGTCTCAAATAAATCAATTTATTTGTATCAAATAAATATTTCTTGTAATATTTAAATAAGGGATTTATTTATAGTTAACGAGCCTCATTTCATTCAAATGAATTGTTTTCTCAGTGTATACGGCCATTTAATTGAAAAAAAAAATTATTCAATTTAATAACTTCATTTTTTTTTTATTTAATTAATCTGCATTTTTATTTTTAATTTTTTTTTTGTGGACAACAAAATTAATCAGAGAATATTTTTTTGACTTTCAAAATCAAATCCTTATAATTTTTAAGAAATTCCTATAAAAGTTTATGCATTAATTTTTAGTCAGCCAATCGATGAGTTGATAGTTGTAAATAATAACTAGTATGAAATAATTGATAAGTGAAACTAACATAATTTTTTTACAGGTTACAGTCTGATTTCAAAATCGTCGAGCGAAAGATAAAGAAGTCAAATCACTCAACGACGATGAAAACAAGGAGAAGGTTCCTATGGCTGCTTTGTCCAGCACCAAAATTGGATGCAGGATGATACAAGAGGAAATCAAGAAAGAAAAAACATACCAGAACACCGGGTTAGTCGTTTCTGTTCCTGTTCCTGCTCCAGTTATTATTCACGGAGAGCATCAAATGCATCCTCTTAACTACAGCAGCTACTCATCCATTGACACCCACCACCATCACCTGGGTAGTTTGAATCTCCACAACGAAATCAACTACGACATAATTCAAAATCAGAATTGTTGCAATTATCATAATTCACCTAATTGCAATAGTCAATCTGTTGACCTAAATTTAAATCATTCTGGACATGATATTCATGATATTCTTCGTAATGATTACAGTTATTTACCTTCTATAGTAAATATTTAGAAAATTATTGAAATATTACTAATAGTGGATATTTAGTTTCATACAAGATATTTAAGTTATATTTTTATAAGGAACGGAAATTCTATAGTATATTCTATAGTTAAATAGAAATGTTAATTGGTTCTTTGGTGTTTGTAAATAATATTTTTTTCAACAAATATTATATTGATAATTTTTTTTTAAGAATTTTAAATAAATACTGTCAAATTACAAATTGTTCTTATTTACTCACTGCTTTATATTTATAAAATATATTCTTATTTAAAAGAAATTCAAGAGAAATTTTATTTATCTATTTTTTAAAAAATTCAATTTAAAAAAAAAATACGTAAACTAGGCCACTGATATGCAATACGGACCCAGTTCATCGAATTCTTAAACTAATGAAAAAGGTCCGGTCTTGAAATGTCAATTTGTTCGGGAGTAATCGTTGGTACATCCAAAATGGGGTGACATCCGGACGTTCACGTAAAATATTTTTCAAAACGTTTTTTTTTTTCAAAATAGCAACATGAAACGATTTTATAAAGTAAAATAATAAAAGATGGTTTTATTTAAGTGTTTTTTCGGTGTACATCTACTTATATTATTGTATAAGTGTAATATGGTTGTGATAGAGGCATTTAAA